GTGGCACTGAGCTCTGCACCAGAGGCCTCACAATGAGCGGCAGACACCGCGCCGACAGTCGTTTGCACGGTGTGCGGCACATTGAGGATGATTGCGCCCCTGCGGTGAAGACACACACACACACATGGGGGTGGGCATGGTGGGGTGGGAGGGGCTATTGCATGCCTGAAGAGGCTCTCTGATGGGATTGTCTGCTTCGGCTGGCTGAATGACGACCATAATAGGTCGATCTTGGCCGGCCCTGCACAGAGAGAGAGAGAAAGAGGTGGGTGGGTGCAGGTCTGTATGTGTGCTTGCATGTGCTATGGTGCACCTGATTCTTCTCTGTAGTCGATGCGTATGGGCGTGTAGAAATTCTGTGTGAGCGCTATCTTGCCCCAGAACTCTTGGCAGCACACCTGACGGATGGACAGACACCCCACACCCCACACACAAACGCACACACGCATGAAGACTTTGTTGCTGTGGGCCCCCCCACCTCTCTCTCTCTGCGTGTGTGTGCTTAGAATACCGTCCACTTGTCGATGATCATGGTGTCGTCGACCCACAGCCGGGCGCTGTCGTCCACATCGAGATAAAACGTATACCTACACACACACCACACACGCACATATACAAACACATATATGTGTGTGTGGGAAGGTTTCTGTGCGCAGGTTTTGGGAAAACGACTCACTCTTCGGTGAAAGCCGGCAGCACAAATCCTGCATTCACAGACACGCACACACACACACACACACAGAGAGAGAGAGAGAGAGAATATTGTCTGGTGCATGGGCAGCCAGCGCGCACCTGTCCATCTGATCGATACAAAGTCGCTGGCAAAAGAGGTCAGCGGCAGGTTGCCCCAGTCGAACGAGACCGTCGCATCCTGAATCTGGCTGAATGGAGCCCCGTAGAACCACTGGTTGTCCCAATACTGGCCATACAGCCCGCCAGCTATACAGGGAGAGAGAAGGCGCACACCGATTTACAAGCACATGGGCCACACGAGGTGGGTGTCCCTCTCCCTCCCTCCCTCCCTCCCTCCCTCCATCCATCCATCCATTCATCCATCCATCTCTCTGTGTCTCTTGTGTGAGTGCGCTTGCCGACGTTCGAGAGCGTAGACGAGCAGCGAGTATTTGCCGACTTTCATAGGCGTGAAGCTCAGGTCGTATGTGCCGTCGTTGTTGTCCGACAGCTGACCGTAGGTCGGCTTGGCCAGCAGATCTACACCATGCACACACACACCGATACACACACACATACACACACACAGAGGGGAACGTGTGTGTGGTTTGTGCTTCCTTGTGTGGCCACTTGTGGCATTCTTCATCAATTGTGCCCATGGAAATGTGTCTCTGTCCCCTCTCTCGCTCTATGTGCGTATGTAAGTACCGGCATTCCAGTCAGGGTGCGTGCTGTCCACCCTTATGCACAGCACACTCGTCGTGTCCATCGCACACACGTCCCTCAGAGAATACACAAAGATCCGCCCGCCGGAACCCTCATCCACTGCCATCCACACACACACATGTTGATGTCTCTCTCTCTCTGTGTGTGTGTGTGTGTGTTGGTGGCGAAATGGACACAAATGTACGTGAAGTCACTGGGTCGACGGCCTGTTGCCACACACACACACACACACAGAGAGAGAGAGAGAGAGACCCGTAAGACCCATGTGTGTGCAAAGGGGTGTCTTTGTGTGTATGTTGTACATGCCTGCACAGCGAGGTTAGTGGGGTCTGTCGCCATTGCAGGGATCGGTGTGGGCGGCACTGGCGTGACATAGGACTGGTCCGCAGCTAGAAGAGCTGCATGCACGCACATACACCATCACATACACACCCACCCATATGTGTGTGTGTGTGTAGACAGACACACAGACATTCGAGAGTGATGGATGCAGCCACTCTCGCCGTCACGTAGTTGACGTTTTCTCTGCAATCCACACACATCCACCCTCTCTCTCTCTCTCCCCCTCTCTCTGTCTCTGTGGGCGTGCCTGTCATTGTAGTTGATAATGTTGATCGCGTAGAGGCGGTACTCGTAGGTGTCGCCGCTCACGAGCCCACTCGCAATGTATTGGGTGACCGTCGGCTCACTCGAACCGTCATACACCACCTACACACAAACACACACACACATCCAGAGGGAGCCGTTTCTCTCTCTCTCATTCCCTCTCTGTGTGTGTGTGTGTGTACCGTGTACGCGCCAGATAGGGCTGGGGGTGTGGTGCCGGATCTCCCTTCCAACACATAGCCCAGGATGGGCGAGCCACCGGTCGAGTCAGGACCTTTAACCCACCCACACAGAGAGAGAGAGAGAGAGAGAAAGAGAGAGAGAGATCTTCGTCCTCTGGGTCTGCCTTCAACTCTTAATACCTGGTCCCCATGTGAGTTTGACCGCGTTTGACCCCCTTTTCGATATGCTCAGCGTCTTGGTGCCCCAGTTGGGCGCTGCCCGACTCAACCAACGGACACACACGCAAAAAAGGAAAGAAAGACTGCCGATATGCGTGTGTGTCTGTGTATGTGTGTGTGTGTGTGTGCAAAAGCAAATGCACCTCCTGCAGCATAGAAGGTGACAATAGGGCTGTCAGTCCCAACCGGCCCCCCGGGTCCGCCATCCTATTAAAGACAGACACATGTGTGGTGTGGTATGGTGTTTGCGCGGTTTCTAAGCACTCACTCGAAACCTGAGCAGAAATCGGTACGGCTGCCCGCCCGCAATGGCACCTGCACACCACGATCCACACAAACGCACAAACACACATGTGTTGCAATCAAGACACAGACAGACATGGCAGAGGGTACCTGATGTGGGGTTGGTGCTCGGCGAGCACGTGCCATCGTAGAACGGCGTCGACACTGCGCCGCCACTCCCTATCGACACGCCCACACCCACACACCCACACACAGAGAGAGAGAGAGATCTGTGTGCCCGTTCATCCACCATCCACCATCCACATCAATGCATTGCGTACCAGTGTCCCACAGCACTTCACATTCGCATGCGCCGCCGCCTGAGCAGTTGGGGACCGGGGTGGGCAGTGCCAGCGTGATGGAGCCATCCGTGGCTGCTGACGCATCGAACGAAGGGGCTATACCCGCTGAATTGCACACACACGGATAGAGAGAGAGAGAGAGAGATTAGTAGATGGGTGCGCCGCGCCTGTCTGTCTTTCTGTCTGTCTGTCTGTTTTACCGGGTTCTTGTGCAGTGACCACCGCCGGCAAAAGTGCCAGTGCTGCTGAGAGCAGCAGCTTTTTTAAGAACACAAATGGCCGCCGACAGATCATCTTTTCTCATCATGCATCCTAGACTGAGACGCCCCCACTATCCCGGCCCCCGTCTGCATGCGAGTGATCCATGCGGCAGGATTTCTGTTGTTTGCTGTTCCCTCTCTTTGGTTGCGAGCGTTCCGCAGTAGATAGGGACGCTCGCCTGCAATGGGAGAGAGAGGGCTTGTTTGATTGGTGCGGTAGGTGGGGACATAGTACTCTTTTTCATTCATTCATTCATTCGCGTCTCCTATGAACGCATGAAAATGCATCCACGGAGACGATTAGCAGCCCTGCAAAAACGAGGCAGAGACCAGGGCGGATGTCCGGCACACCAAGGTTTCCCTTGGCTACCCCTGGATTTCGTAAAAAGGCCAGTTCGTTTTCACCCTGATGGCGGCAGGGCTGCCCGGCTTGCATACTCCCCTGGGCCGGGGGAGGTGGTGTGCCAGGTATATGTCGTGGGGGTGCGTGTACGTGTCTGTCTCGCGCTCGGTGTTCGTGTTGTGTGTGTCCAGGTGAGTCATATCGTTGTGTACTCACAAAATGCCGACAAGTTGAACACGACAACAACACACTTTTTCGTAGGCATGTACACCACATACGCAAGAGACACACTGCGTACGCAGAGAGAAAACATGGATTACACAGCTGGATAAACGGCGTGCACATATAGACAGACAGCCATCAGAGCGTGCCATGTTGAAGAACCACATGCACGTCTCAATCATTCTGACCTCTCCCTCACTCTCACACCACAGTGAGCACCTCCACCTCATCAGCCATAAAGATATGGCTGCCCCCAAACTGAGCATTGCCATGCTCATCCCTCACCCCCACATAGCCATCAGGCACCGCCACCGAGCACATGCCATGACGGCAGCTGCGCAAATCAGCAGCAGCGCCACACCCCAACCACAGCCACCCACCGATCCCGTCGATCACCAGCTTCGCCCGAAAAAGTGTCCCCTCCCGCCCTGCCACACACACTGGCCATTTGCCTTCCTACAACTTGGTCGGGCCCTTGGTGAAGTGGCCGGCCAGCGAGAATTGCCACCCATCACAGTCGTACTCGTTCACGCCTGTCGGGTCATCGGGCAGCTGCAGGCCACCACTGACGAAGGCGCCGAAGACGTACTCGCCCTTGCTGACAACGAACACCAGGTCCTTCGTGTCGCCCACACACCGCAGCAGATCGCCATACGACGGCCCGTCACGGGTCGCTCTGGGAATGGCACACACGCACAGAGAGAAGACAAGAATGAGTACACTGCCGTGTCGATTGGCATTCCATCTGCTCACCGGTAGAGGGACCGCAGCGACTTGCCGGTGCCTCCGACCCACTTGGTGAGAAACACACCCTGCATGCGATTCATCATGCTGCCCTCAATCGACGTCTGCAGCCACACAGAGGAAGCAGCACCAGGAAATCACAAGAGAGGAAAAGCGCCACTTGTTGTCTCTCAATTGCATCTCTCGTACCATCATGAGTGTGTGGAGTCGTGACCGTATCGCCGAGAGGGGGGCCTCCATGTCGACCTCATTCGCCAGCTGACACGTTTCGATGACCACCTGGGTCTCCGCTCGAGTCAGGGAATAGGCGGCAGTGGAGCACTTGAGCAAAACAGCCATGCGATCACGATCTGAACACACCGGAAGACGCCACATCCTGCATCATACGCGGGCGTGTACTTGCGGTCTTTGCGGACCCTGCTGCTCTTTCGCCTCAACTGCAGCCACCAGGGGGTAGCATTTTGGGACATCCACATCGGCGGGCGTCATCACCCTGAGGGACATTGAAAAACACCCAAACCCATCATGCGCTCACCGGTGCGTGCATCGAGCGTGTCGGTCCCCCCTCACCCGCATCTGTTTGGGCAGCTGATGGTGTTGTTGGCTGCACGCCTTTGGAGATCTCTGACGCACTGCACAAAACACACAAACAAGGCAGATCTGCTCAGATGAGGTCACAGCAGCAGCGAACTTTCTTACGTCTGCGCAATACGAGTGACCTGACAGTCAGACAGTCAGACAGACAACAGCACACATCTGCTTGCCCCTTCTCCCGTCCCACTGCTTGCTCTCCTCACCGCATCTGAGCACTTGAGGAGTCCGAAGTCCGGTGCTCGTATAGGCATTCGTGCAGATCTCACACGACAGATGCTGCTCGTCACCACCACCACGCGCCATCATCGCAAAAGGAGAATTCTTGGGGGAAACCTGCGAGCTAAGATGGAATCGGTTCCGAGATTGAACTCATAAATCAGGGGCAGGGGAAGCAGTGACTAGCTGTTATCCCGCACCCGCCCATCGTCGCTTTGTCGGGGGTATGCGGACACGCACGTGATAGACAGACATGATCCTTCGTCGTCTGATCATAAAAAGCCGACAGCACGCAATCGCACATTGATCATTGACACGCACACCGACCGCACGCGCAATACTTCAAAGGAGATATATATATATATATATGCATCGGACGGGATCGGACGCCCGCCTCCCATGATAGAACGCACATGCACGCAAACATACAGTCATCCAAAAATGGCATACACATACAGATAGACATCACGGACAAACAAAACAAACACGAGGGGCCAGAAACGACTCACACAGATGGATAAAGGCGACATACATATACTCACTTGCCATCAAAGCGTGCCATGATGAGAAAAGCACCGTGCAGCTGTCATCAATGTGGTCTCTCCCTCTGAAGACAGACAGACAGACGGACAGACAGACAGACAGCCACGCCACGGCCAAAAACAGCGAGGCGTCATAAAGCTGAAGAAAAGCCGAGTACATACATATGCAGACAGCCATCAAAGCATGCGACGTCCAGAAACCAGATGCACCACTCAGTCAATCTGACCTCTGCCTCACTCTCACACCGCAGTGAGCACCTCCACCTCGTCGGCCATGAAGTCAATGCTGCACCCAAACAGAGCACGGTCATATTCATCCCTCACACCCACATAGACCCCAGGCACATCATCGCTGGGGACGCCATGACGGCAGCGGCGCATATCATCAGCAGCGCCGCCCTCATAGCCCAACCACAGCCACCTATCGAACCGCCTACCGATCCCCAGCTTCGCCACCCCATACACTGTCCCCTCCCGCCCCGCCACCCCCACCATCCGGCTGCCTTCCATCTTGGTCGGTGTGTCGAAGTGACCGGCCAGCGAGAAATACCACACATCGCACTCGTACTCGTTCATGCCTCTTGGGTAATGTGGCAGCTCGAGGGCGGCACGGATGAAGGCGCCGAAGACGTACGTGTCCTTGCGGATGACGAACACCAGGCCACTCGTGTCGCCCACACAACGCAGCAGATCGCCATATGACGGCCCGTCGCGCGACGACCTGAGATATCAGCACACACACATACACACAGAGAGAGAGAGAGAGATGAATCTATAAAGCTGCCTCAGTGCACATTGTTTAGCTCACCGGTAGAGGGACCGCAGAGATGTGGTGTGGCCTCCGACCCACTTGTTGATGAATATGCCCTGCATTCGATTCAACGTACTGCTCTCAATCGGCGCCTGCAGCCACACAGACCAAACAGCACCAAACAATGCGTCCACATCGCAGGACGAGCCGATTGTCACACGAGATGGGGCCGGTCCTTATCTCTACTTGCCATCCCACCGTCATGAGTGTGTGAAGTCGCGAGCGCGCGCCGGCAGCCCCGCTTCCATGTCAACCTCATTCTCCAGACGACACGCCTCGATGACCGTTGTGACCTCTGCCAGGCTCAGCGAATAGGCCGCGGTGGCGCACTTGTATAGAGTAGCCATACGGTGACGCTCTGGACACATCGAAAAGCGCCACATGATGCAGCATACGCGTGAGTGTCTATTTGACCTTGTACCTTGCGCCTCTTTCGCCTCGATTGCGGCCGCCAGGGGATAGTTCTTCGGCACATCCACATCGGCTGGCGTCGTCACCCTGCCAGGTCCGACATGAGCACTGGTGCGTGCATCGGGCGTGTCGGCTCTCGCTTACCCGCATCTGTTTGGGCAGCTGATGGTGTTGTTGGCTGCACGTCTTTGGAGATCACGGACGCACTGCACAAAACACACAACAAGGCAGATCTGCTCAGATGAGGTCACAGCAGCAGCGGCCTTTCTTACGTCTGCGCAATACGAGTGACCTGACAGTCAGACAGACAGACAGACAGACAGCCCACGTCTGCTTGCCCCTTCTCCCCTCCCACTGCTTGCTGCCCTCACCGCATCTGAGCACTTGAGGCGTCCGCCGTCCAGTGCTCGTGTAAGCAATCGTGCAGATCTCACACGACAGATGCTGCTCGTCACCACAACCACGCGCGGCAGCCATCGCGGCTTCCTCCTCTTTTCCTCCTCCCTCCGCGAGCTCATTATTTTGGATCGTGGAGCGACGATTGAATTCATGAGTCAGCGGTAGCGCAAGCACGAGAGGCTGTTTAAAGCAGTGACTAGCTGATGGGCGGAAAGTTCTATCAAGCAACGACCGGCTGATACGTCGCATGTACGGTCCCTATTGACCACAGGACCGAGGGAATGGCTTTGTAAGCGAAGCATACACAGTGCACTGACTGTATACAACAAATCGTGTACGCATACGTGTACACATATCGTCGATTTTGCGTGCATCGCAGTCACGAGTCACAATCACGTTTGACGGCACTCATGCGTTGGTGTGTATGTCTGGGTGCGTGGCTTGGGAGACCACATCAGGGATTGTTGTATATACACACGCACACACACATCCACACGCAGACACGCGACAGGCAGCGAAGGGACGCACACATGTAGTACCCCCTTCGCAAAAAGATGCACCAAACGATGGGAGAAAGGCCACCATCATAGTCCAAACAGATACGCATCATGTGGCTCTTGTGACGGATGTCTCATTCAGACACCTTCTGCTGTGTAGCCAGACCACACAGTTGGCTAAAAGCAGGACACGTACGGCAATGGTATTATATACGACATCACACCACAAACACGCAGAAAGCAATAACGAAAGGCCTCGCAGCTGAATAAAATGAGTGTACAGACATACATACAGTCACCAAAGCATGTCATGTCTCGAGGAGTGGCATGCAACCCTCAATCAATCTGACCTCTCCTTCCTCATTGTCACACCGCAGTGAGTACCTCCACCTCATCAGCCATGAAGCGCCTGCTGCCCCCAAACAGAGCCTTGGCATACGGTCCCTTCTTAGACGGCTTACGCCACACTCAGGACCTCCACATTGTCAGCCATAAACATTCTGCTGCCCCCAAACAGGGCATTGGCAAACCCATATCTCACCCCCATATAGCCCTCAGGCACATCACCGCTGTGTATGAACTGATAGCAGCTGCGGATATCATCAGCAGCAGGAACACATCCCAAATCCAGACACCCACCGATCTCCAGCTTCGCCCCAGCCGCTGTAAGCCCCTCCCGCCCGGCCACATTCACTGTCTCCCTGCCTTTTGCAGCAATCTTGGTCAATTGGCGGAAGTGGCCGGCCAGTGAGAAATGCCACACATCACACTCGTAGCGATTGTCGCCTGCTAGGTCGTCGGGGAGCTGGATGCTGGTGCTGATGAAGGCCCCAAATACGTACTTGTCCTTGATGACGACGAACACGAGGCCACTCGCATCGCCGACACAGCGCAGGAAATCGCCGTACGATGGCCCGTCGCGCGTCGATCTAATGGCACACACGCGCAGAGATGCAGTGGCTCTGTCTGTTGGCCACGTTGTTGACACCAGCTGTACTGGTAGATCAGCCGGAGTGACTTGTTGCCCGCATTGGCCCACTTGGTGATAAACATTTCGTGCAGCCTCGTGACCTTACTGCCCTCAATCGACGACTGCAGACCAAACACAGACGGGGAGACACGGCTGATTGATAGCGTGTGTGAGTGGGTCGGTCACACTTACCGTCAGGTGGCCGTGCAGACGACTGCGCATGTTCGGCAGAGTGTCCGTCGCGTGTGAGAGGCCGCACATCTGCATGACCTGCGCCACCTCCGGCGGTGTCAATGAGTGGGCGGCAGTGGCGCACTTGTGCAGCAGAGTCAGCTGCTGAAGCTCTGCACGAAGAAGAGGTACATCAACCTTCAGTCGACAAGAGTGTGTGTGTGTGTGTTTCTGTGTGTGTGTGCCTTTGTATGCATTCCTTTGTGTACCTTGCTGCTCATTCCGCTCCACTGCGGCCGCCAGGGCATAGTTCTTAGGTACATCGACGTCGACCAGTACTGGCGTCGCCAGCCTATCGTATCAGACACAGGGCACACTCACATGCGGCCGTCCCTTCATGAGTTATCTTGAGTGTCTAACCCGCATCTGTTGGGGCATGGGATGGTGTTGTTGGCTGCGTGACGGTGGAGGTCAACGATGCACTACACACAGCACACACATCAGATCTGTGGCTGTCACAGCAAGAGCCGCCTCCCTGCTTCTCACATCTGCGCAGAACGAATGGCCTGCAGGACACACACAGAGGAAGCAGACCATATCAGCCACTCCGGTCACTCCTTGCTGTTTCACTCACCGCATCTGAGCTGTCGAGGTTCGTTCTTTCCGTTGCTTGTGAAGCCATTCGTGCAGATGGCCATCTTCCACAGCAGCCATCACCCCGGCCGTACAGCTGTAAACTCTCCAGCCTTTTGTAAACATGCGATTTTAGAGTGCGCGCGGGGACCGTTTTTCTCCTCTCCCTTGAGAGACAGACACTCGATCGTCAGGCAGCCGCATTTCGTCAACATCGCACACATAAGGCTCTCTCCTCGTCGCACTTCCTCCGTCATGAGTCCCCTGGTGCTGACAGCGTTACTCGTGCTGCTGCCCTCTGCGATGGCCGCACCAGACACAGCAAACCTGCGACGTGGGCGAAGGGACGGGAGAGAGGGGGGCAGAGGATGCCTCTACTGTATCCACAGAGACCTTTTTGCTTAATTGCCTGTCCTTCTCTGCGTCTGTCTGTCTGTCTGTCTGGTGCAGATGCCCAAGCTGTGATCCGGAAACCTCTTCGTCTGCCTTCTTCCAACTGGGAAGATAATAAGCCGGCCAATGCACCAGGGCCTACTGGTGGCACCCCAGCCAGTGGATCCGGGGTGGTTTCCAGCAACCCAGTCTTTGCGAGCAGGCCCCCCAGCGCACCGGTTGTTTCTCGCAACCCAGTCATTGGCAGCCCAGCCAGGATTCCTGGCAGTGTTCGGCAGTGGGAGATTGATCCTAGCAGTGTCAGGCCCGCCGAGCAGCTAGAGATTATTCCTGGCAGTGTCGGGCCCGCCAAGCAGTGGGATGTTATTCCTGGCAGTGTCGGGCCCGCCAAGCAGTGGGAGGTCATTCCTGGCAGTGTCGGGCGCGCGCCCGGCAAGCAGTGGGAGGTCGTTCCTGGCAGTGTCGGGCGCGGCAATGGCCGGTAGGCTCCTGACCGGCGGGCTGAATGTCAAGAGATGCGGCAGGAGAGAGGAAGACAGGAAGAGAGAGACCTACAGACAGACCGACACGGAGGGGCGGAGGGAGGGAGGCGAGGGTGATGGGTTGTTGGTCGTTTTCTGCTCACCTTCCTGCCTGCCTGGGTATCGATGCGTGTCGATTGAATTGCATTTGATTCATGTGTTGACGTACGTGCATGTCTCTGCATTGGGCGAGGGCTTGATGCATCCAAGTGTGTGTGCTTTTGTTGCGGCGAGCCGTTTGACAAAGCTGTCTGTCTGTCTGTCTGTCTGTTTGTGCCTGGCGTATCACAAGCGACACTCATCGGTCTGTGCACTTGTGCGAGAATGGGGAGAGGGGTTCTTGATTCGATTTTGGTGTTTCGTGTCTTGTGAGGTGTTTTGTGTATGCCTGATGGTGCAATGCGTCAGCGTGAGACGCCTTGCTCAGGGATATTGGCGAATCGTACCATAGCAAGGTGCTTTGATTCGCTTCTTTGTCACACGTGTCGCTCGATTAATCAACTCACCCACCCTCCCACCCACATCGACCCCCCTGTCTCTCTGTCTGTCTGTCTGTCTGTTGACACTTGCTGGGAATCCATACCTTCAACAACATCATGACTTCAATCAGGGCAGTCTGCGTATGGCATCACGATACAGTCTTGGCCCTTTCGCATTGCGTCGCTCATCCCTCTTGTGGCTAATGCGGACATAAAACGAGTCAAAAATGACCGGCGCAGATTCCATGCAGGTAGAGCAAAGGACCAGACACACACACATACACGAACAAGACAACTAGTAGTGTCAACTACCCACCCACCCGAGACAAGCCGCATCATTACACGGGTGATATAGAGACACGCCAAGCACACTCACTAATGGCCCATATGCGCGCCAATGACGCTGTCGACCCATCCGTCAGCCCAAGGGTCGGTCTCCTCGCGTGTGGAGGCGCCTCTCTGTCCAATCTCCCGCGTCACGCTGCTGTCTTCAGCACCATCGGCATCGGCATCAGCAGCAGCCGGCATGGCGTCAAGCGGCAGAACACCGAGGGATGGCCTGCACACACCTACGGGCGGACGCGTCCACATACAGCCACACGACGACGTGTGAACGTGCTCACTCACGTATCTGCGCCGCTGCCTTTTGGGTGGATCACACTGCCGGCAAACACGAAGGTCGTGGCAACTGTTTACACACAGACAGCATGCAGCAGTCATGATGAACAGACAAGTAGAAGGCAAACACGCATCTTACGTGTATGTGTGGCGGGGGTTGTGGGCGCCAGTGACTGAGGGCCGACAAGCAGCAGCTGAAGGCAACGCACAATGCACACCACACGTTTACGAGGCAACAACCATGTGGCCGTCTGTCCAAACACCTGTGCATCCTCGTTTGTCAGTTTGTGTGTCTTGCGCAGGTGAGAGTTGACCACGTTGCGGTAGGTGTTCTGCTTGCCGCAGATGCCCACATTGCCATCGCCATCAGCACACGGCACCACACACGTGGCGCACAGCCTGTCGTCCTTGCTCTTCTTCACCGGCACATAGCGCACCTCGTTCACCAGCTCACCTCCCCAGTAGACGCGCACGCCGCACTGGCTGTCAAAGTCAGTCGCCTGCTCGTCAATGTCCATTGCCGGCTTGCGGAAATCCTGGAGGCGATACAGATGGCGGACTGGCCGCGGCCGGGCGTCCTCGTCGATCTTGGCCGGCAGGAGGGCCAGCTGCCAGCCTGGCTGACCCATAATGAGCTCGGTGCTCTCCTTGGTGAGCCACACTTGCCGATGCTCCTCTGGGGCGGTCATGTTGATGGGGTCGGCCAGCGACTGAGACCGATGGCGATCGAGCTTGATGGAAGGCCATTGCTCGTGAACTCTATGCAGGAGGTGTGCACGTGACAGAGGAACACCACCTGCAGAGCAAACAGCAAACACCGTGTGCTTGGCAGGTCCGGTGTGCATGAGGTGAACATGCACAAGTCACCGTTCATTGTAATTATGCCGAGAAGAGCCAGACAGCAGCACGCCGCACAAGTAATCAATCCTGCATCGCCGATCACCAGCGTATTCAGAGGCACAATCCCGTAATTCGGCACGATCGTGCCGAAATGAACGCTCATCTGCCGATGAAACTGAGAAAGAGGAAGCTCTTATGTTTGACCCACCGTGTTTGGGCCGTCGTGGTGGTCTCAACGTGACGTCACAAGACTTTCACAAGGAGCAGCAGCAGCGTGGAGCGTCCCCCGCATCACGATAGCCAGATCTCCACTGTCGCTCGGAGGAGGCGACCTGCAGACAACACAACAGCCACACGGATAGCATCCAACGGGCTCCCTTGCGGTTCCTGCCCCTTCATTCCGCTTTGGTGCGAGCTGCAGCGATCTCGGCACGAGAGGCAAGAACTCATCGTTTTGGCGAGAAGAAGGCATTCTGATGAGTGCTTTGGGCAGATCTGACGAACAGGTAGTGTGCTGTGCCGCAATACGTCACCGCTTTGGCTGATTCGATAGTGTCTGCTTCTAATGTTTGTGCAGGGTGATTGGGTGTGGGCCGTGGCGTCGGCCGAGGAGCATCACGAGCATCATGACAGCCAAACACAGGTACGTGCATCAGTGAGATGAACACACCCGGCGGTGGCTCTGTCCGTTCCCCCAGCAGGTGGCTGCCGCAGCTGCAGTCACAGTGAATCACGACAACGCTCATCATCAGGTGCGAACACATAGTCGCACACACAGTCGATGCACGGCGATCTGTTTGATGTCTGTTGACCGTCCCCGGCTGTGTGTCTGTGCGCGATGCAGCCACAGACAGAATGGGAATCGAATGATCTCGGCGGTGGATTGACGACAGACTCGCATCACGGTGAGTGGACAGACACGACACACTGAGAGCCGTGCAGACAAGGATGCGATTGTCGATTAGATGAAGCTGATTGGCCTTTTTCGAGTCATGGCCTGGTGGTTATGGGTCAGCCGGTGATCACCGCGGGTGCATCAGCTGCCCACCACGATCGAGCTGAGTCGCTCCCGCCACAGCCCACATCAAGAAGCACGACCCGACAATCCTCACAACAGGTGAAAATCCGGTCACTCACATGCCTTCACATGTCTGTTGTCCACGGTTGTCCAGATGTCGACAGAGAGGGCGGGCGAGGTGGCCATCAGCGAGCGGCTGCAGCTGGTCGACGAGTTCATTCGCCGGCAGCAATCCGGCGAGTCCATCAACATGTCCCAGTTTGCGGAGGAGCAAGGCATTCCACCCAAGCGCTTCAGACAGTGGTGCAGTGACATCAAGAAGCAGAGGGAGGCCGGGATGCCGGTCACCGACTCGGACAAGAAGCGCAACAGGCAGCCCAAGTACCGGCAGATTGAGGACGAGATGCGGCAGTGGATGGCCACCCATGACGACCCCACAAGCGTCCCCCCAAGGGCCATCAGAGCCAAGGCAATCGAGATTGCCAGTCGGCTGGGCGTCGGGGACTTTTCTGCGAGCGACAAGTGGATCAAGTCATTCAGAAAACGATGCTTACAAGTAGGATGGACAAAGTATCATCCACGTTTGTCGATCCATGCCTACTCCAGATCCCTTTGCCGTCCTCTGACCCACCTGCCGCCGCCGCAGCTTTAGTAGCCCCTCTGCCTGGCCCATGCCCTTCATCAGCACTCCTCTTCTCAACAAACGGCTGCTTTTCGTCCGTAGCTCGCTCAGCGTCCATCTCTTCGCTGCCGATGCATTTGCCCCACCCCCACCCTCTACCCATGCCCCTCACCTGCCAGCCGCCACAAGAGGAGCTCCCTGACAAGACCGGATGGACCAGGCAGGTGCGCACTGCACAGCCACATGCCCCTTCAGCGACATGTGTTTCTCTTCTCCCAGAGCACCGAGTCTGTCCCTGCACCGCCACCAAGAGGCGACAGCGTCAGCGATCAGCAGGTATACGACGTCAGACAATGCACCCAGCCCATGCATGTTTCTCCTGTGGTGCCTTGCAGGGCCAAAAGGTTGATGAGGCAGCTGCGGTGCGAATGGCGGATGGCTTCATCGGACCGACCACCGACCTCAGCCGACAAGTGATACACCTAGCTTGCGCACACCACGGCAGCAAATGAGGCCTTTATGTGTCTGCCGTCGTCATTGCAGGCTACGACATGTCCACCAGACGACGATGCTGCTGCCAGCGATCGGCCGCTCGACACACAGTCGCAGCCATCAGAGCGCAACACCATGAGCGTAAGTAAAGCAAGAGGGCTCATTCATGTGTTGCGGAATAAGTTTCTGCTATACATCTACTCCTGTTGCTCTTCAGCTGGCTGACGCCGTGAGAGAGCCGACTGAGCAACGAGAGGCCTCCAAACAAGATCCACAGGACCCCCACACGCAGCCACAGAGAGGGGCCGCCGTCTGTGGTCAGTGAAGCGCAATCAAGTGGACACCCACAGACACGGAGAGGCAGGCAGGCGGTCAGGCATTGTGAGTTTGTGTGCATGCAGGTGTGGTCCCGTTCATCGGCCAAGTCTGTCTTCACCGTCACTGCCGACGATCGCCTCAGTGACATACCAGAGGTGAGACTGACGCAGACAAAGAGGACTGAAACTCACTTGTTGTACATCTTCGCTGTACTGTCATCAGGACGATAATGATAGGCTGAGTGTGTCTGACGGTGCGGCTGGCCATGTGATGGCCGTTTCAATTCGCAGCACAACACACGAGGATGACAAACTGCATGACCCGCAAGTGAGAGTCTGCACATGGCATGATTGCGTCCAGATCAGAAACAAAAATGCAGTCACCAACACGTGCGTCTGTCTGCGTGCAGATGATCGTTGGCAGCAGACTGACTTCGTCTGAACGTACGGCCCTCCGCTCCCTCTTCGTGCCGTCCATGTTGGACGAATGTAAATTCACTCTGCTGTACAGGTACAAACAAACCACACACAGGGCCTGCAATCAATCATGTGTCATTCTCTGTCGTCTTTCTGGTATCCTAAGGGCCTCTGTCGATGGCGCAACCTATGGTGATCTGCTTCAGTGTGTGGGCGATGCGAGTGGCCTGGCGTTCATCATCCGCAAGGACAAGTACGTCTTCGGCTCCTGGATCAGTGCCGGCATCCGGCTGCCCGACGACCCTAGAGGCAGAAACGAGTACGACTGTGATGGGTGGCAATTCTCGCTGGCCGGCCACTTTGAAAAGCCCACCATCACGTGGGAAGGCAAATGGCCAGTTTGTGTGGCCGGGCGGGACAGAGCTACAGTGCGAGGGGCAAGGGTGAGGATCGGGCCATGCGACTGGTTGGGATGGGGCCATGGGGATGGCTGGTTCGGTTGGCTGGGCCGTTGGTTGGGCTATGGAGGTGGCGCTGCTGCTGCTGCTGATATTCGCAGCTGCCGTCGCTTCATGTGGAGCTGGGAAGTGCCTGAGGGCTATGTGGGGGTGAGGAATGAGGCTGGCCGTGCTCTGTTTGGGGGCAGTGAGGAGTTTATGGCTGATGAGATGGAAGTCATTCGTGTCGACGGCCTGCTGTCACTCAAGGTCATACACACATCAAAGAGAGATCGAATCAGACGGCGATGTTGTTGTTATATTGCAGGTGATCGAGGGCACAACTTTTGATCCCTTTCAATCTTCGGCACTCTATCGGTTTCTGGGGCCGGCAATGGGAACCCATGAACTGAAGCTGATCTACAGGTACACCTGACCTTAGAACAGGTCGATCCTTTGACTCTGTCTGTCTTCTATTCTTAGGGCCTCGCGTGACGGGGCGTCATATGATGATCTCCTGCGGTGTGTGGGTGACACGAAGGGCCTGGTGTTCATCGTCAGACGGGACATGTATGTATTCAGACGGGACATGTATGTATTGGGCGAGTACGTCTTCGGCGCCTTCATCAGTGGTGGCATCCGACTGCCCGACGACCCAAAACCACTGAACGTCTACCAGTGTGATGGGTGTGATTTTTCTCTGGCCGGCCACTTCGACACACCGAAGATGATGAAAAAAGGCAGCCGGATGGTGGGGGTGGCTGGGCGGGAGGTGACAATGTATGGGGCGAAGCTGTGGATCAGTGGGACTGGGTGGCTGTGGTTGGGCTGTGAGGGTGGCGCTGCTGCTGACATGCGCATCTGCCGTCAGCGGATCCTCAGCGAGTATGTGCCTGATGGCTATGTGGGGGTGAGGGATGAGCATGGCTCTGCTATGTTTGGGGGCAGTCGTCAGTTTATGGCAGATGAGGTGGAGGTGCTCGAGGTGGTGTGAGTGTGAGGCCCGAGATCACTTGAGGAAGTCTCTGATGGCTGTGCTGTATGCGTATTGCTTTTATTCAGATTTGTGAGGCCTCTCTGTTCTCGGCCCTCTGTGTTCGTTGTGTTCGCTGGATTGGTGCGATGTGGTCTGTCCGCATACACAGCAGACAGGCAGATGCTGTGTGATAGACAGACAGACAGACAGACAGAAGGATAGTGGGCGGGAGGGGTCAGATTCATTGAACGAGGCAGCAGGGACTTTGCTGCTGACGATTTGGACACATTAATTGCATCGTGATTTCGTACTTTGATTTTTAATATGATGCCACAGCCACGTTGAGAATATCAAACTAACACAAACGTTGTGTTTCTGGATGCAGCGCAAAGAGTGTGATCTTTATGAAATCAGACAAACAGAAGGCATAAAAATCGGCTGAGTGTGCACGTACTTCTGTGTACCCTCCATGTATCCCACCGTCCCGACAAGCAGAGACAACACGATTGAAATCATACGAACTGCTTAACGCTCATGCGCAAGCATGCCACACCCGCAAGTGCCGATACACCAGCAAGTCTGCGCAAGCGCAGCGGCGAGACAGAATCGCACAGCCATGGAACACGTCACGTCACGACACGTCACGTCACGACATACAGCAGCGGCGTTGGCACACATGATACTTGGTCCTGCAAACGGAAAAGGACAGACGCTGGAGAGTCTGGCAGTTGCGTTCTTACCTACTGCTCGAAGCGAAGGTAGCAGTCGGTGACGATGCTCTTCAAAACGTGGACAAGTCGCAGGCTCATGACCGGATTGAGATAGCCATCCTCGCCATAGTTGACCACGCAATACACGTGGCTCATGTCAACACTAAGGACACACAGATAACAGACAGCAGGCCTGGCGTTTTGATGTAGGGGGGTGTGTGTGTGTGTCAATGTGTGTGTCCGCACCCGAGGTCTTCGGCCACTTTCGCGCGGCGGATGTCGATCTCCCTCTCAAATTTGGGGGACTGGAAGAACTCGAGTCGCTGTTTGCGTGTCGTGAGTCCCTGCCTGGTGACGAAGGGCAGCTTGTCGGCCTTCGTGCACACCACATACACACCACCTGCCAGCAGACACAAATGTACAGTCTCTTGTATGTTCGTATGGGTGGATGATTACCTTTCTGGACGTCCATTCCGTGTCGGATGATGGCTTTGATGTTGTTGCACTCCTCTGAGGCAGTATCCACTTCACAGCTGAGCACCACCAGCGGTGCATTTGGCTTGACCACGTTAGAGCCGTCCTCTGGGAGACGACCCTGTATGCTCACGGGGGGAAAGATGACTCTGCGTGAGCCCCCCCAGTGTGTGCCCACCTCGACGGCTTTAATGATGTCGGTGATCTCGTGAGGGACGGCGATGCCAGGCGTGTCCTGGAACTGGAGAGGGATGTCATGGTTGTTAGGTGCCGCCCACTTGGTCATGAAATGCTTGGTGATGTGGGTGCTGCGCGTCTTGCCTTGGGCTTCAAACTGAGAAGGGAGAGTCGAGGATGTCGACAAGAAATGACACCAATCACATGAAGAAAATACCAATTTCCTTCCATACCTGCGTGAATTTGCCGTTGTATCTCTCGCTCGTGCCGTTCGTTTTGTCGTCCACCAAGCACCGCATGATTGAACGGAGGGAATTGAGGAACGAGGTCTTGCCATGGCTGCGAGACGCGAAGAGACATGCACGATTGTGTGTTCTTGGCGTCGGTCGTGCATTCCTCTTTGCCGCTTATCCAGTTATCCCCACGACCAGTAGTTTGAAGGTCTCACCAGGTGCCAAGATGGTCTGCAGCCGCGTCAGGATGTCCGACACGGAATCCAGGGCCCCGTCGAGATCCCTATGGGAGAGCGAACACTGGAGGTGATGGAAGATTTTCTCCTGTGTGTGCGTACCTGGCCGCCTCGCCGAAGTCGGTCAGCGCCTCAGACAGGCTGAGCGGCTTCTGAAAGTCCTTGGGCGTCGTCCGATTCTTGCGTGGCCAGCTGCCGAAGATCACGGCCGCCACTCCAGCGTAGAGTGCAGCGACCGGAACGATGTCCATTACAAAGGGAATGAGCTCGTCCATGGTGGCAACGATGTGCAGATGGGGAGCTGAAGAGAAACAGCCGTAGCGATGGACCAACCTTTCCTGATCCCATTCCTGCCGATTCCTACTTCGGCTCGCAACGACCAGCATTAGAGGACCATCCTGAAGCTCTTCGCGAGATCTGTGCGCATTGCATCCCCATGACTCAGAGGTGCTCGGACGTCGCTTTGATCGGCTCTCAAGAGCAGCTGGTGAGCGACGTTGGCTCCTCATGAGAGGATTGCACCAATCTCGTTTCGGCTTTTAGGGTCACGGATACGCTGCTGAGCTGACGAGGAACCTCGAAAGGCACAGAGTCAACGTCGTGCCTGTCTACAAGGGAGCCCATGCGCCGATGCACGTCCCGAGTGTGTGGATCATGTTGGTGCCTTTCGGAGGTGGCAGGATGGTCAAGGAGAGGTGGATATGGGAACTGCAAGGTGAGACGGGGTGAGAATCCATGTGCGCAAGACGACAGCCGCACATTCTGGTGTGTTGCATCCCTGTCCGCAGACGCCCGTCGGTGCGTGGCCACCTCGCAGCACCCGCCCTGGTTGTCGCCCGCCTCCGTCCACATGCTGTGCGTCTGCCATTACTCCCACGATCGCATGGCCGGCATGGTCGATACCGACATCCTTGGCGAGATCGCGACGGCTGCCGGCATCCCTGATACTCCCATCGATGTGGGCCGCATCGATACAGGCGATGACCATTCTCTCGACTGGTGGAGTGAGGCCACCAGGGCGTCACTCAAGAGCCTCTTTCGGGCTTTGGGCATCAGTGAGTGCCTGTGGGTGGGGCGGTGGTGTCCGAGGCTTCGCATATGGGCTGTCTTGCTGGGTGCTTTGGTCGTCTACTTAGGCGTGGTGCACAGCAGTTGTCGTCGGCAGGACGGCGGCAGTGCAGCCACTCGAGACCATTGCGGCTTAGCGCCCATCCTGTACGGATGCATCAAAGCGATCGCCTGCTGCTGCTGCCTTCCCTTGCCCCTGTGGCGGGACGAATGAGTGCGAATGCGGTTTGAAAACGCCGCATTTTTGACCGAATGTGACACACACATATCGTGGAAACTCAATTGATCAACCAACTTCGTTGATTCGCTTCATTGTCAGTGTCAGCCCCCCACACACATACGCGTTGCTCGCCAACGAGCAACCCCCTCAGACACCCGCCCACATGGGCCTCCCTCTCTGTCTGTCTGTCTGTCTGCCCGTCTGCAACATCATGACTTCAATCAGGGCAGTCTGCGTATAGCATCACGATACAGTCTTGGCCCTTTCACATTGCGTCGCTCATCCCTCTGTGGCTGATGCGGACACAAAACGAGTCAAAAATGACCGGCGCAGATTCCAGGCAGGTAGAACAAAGGACCAGACACAAGGACGAGACACATACACACACACACACACACGCGAGACACCCACCCAGAGACAAGCCACATCATTACACCGGTCATATAGAGGCACGCCAAGCACACTCACTAATGGCCCATATGAGCGCCGATGACGCTGTTGACCCATCCGTCAGCCCAAGGGTCGGTCTCCTCGCGTGTGAGCGTGTCTGTCTGTCCGATCTCCCGCGTCACGCTGCTGTCTTCAGCAGCAGCAGCCATCGGCGCTTGCAAGTCGGTGAGTATGGCGTCAAACGGCAGAACACCGAGGGATGGCCTGCACACACGTACGCGCGGACGTGTCCACAGACAGCCACACCACGACGTGTGAACGTGCTCACTCACGTATCTGCGCCGCTGCCACTTGGGTGGATCACACTGCCGGCAAACACGAAGGGCGTGACAGCTGTTTACACACACACACAGCATGCAGCAGTCATGATGGACAGACAAGCAGAAGGCAAACACGCACCGTACGTGTGTGTGTGGCGGCGGTTGAGGGCGCCAGTGACTGAGGGCCGACAAGCAGCAGCTGCAGGCAACGCACAATGTCAAACACTCGTAGATAAGGCCCACCCACAGCCATTTGGCCCTTCACCCACCTGTGCATCCTCGTTTGTCAGTTTGTGAGTCTTGCGCAGGTGAGTATTGACCACGTTGCGGTAGGTGTTCTGCTTGCCGCAGATGCCCACATTGCCATTGCCATCAGCACCCGGCACCACACACGTGGCGCACAGCTTGTCGTCCTTGCTCTTCTTGACCGGCACATAGCGCACCTCGTCCACCAGCTCACCTCCCCAGTAGACGCGCACGCCGCACTGGCTGTCGTAGTCGGTCGCCTGCTCGTCAATGTCCATTGCCGGCTTGCGGAAATCCTGGAGGCGGTACAGATGGCGGAGTGGCCGCGGCCGGGCGTCCTCGTCGATCTTGGCCGGCAGGAGGGTCAGCTGCCACCCTGGCTGACCCATAATGAGCTGGGTGCTCTCCTTGGTGAGCCACACTTGCCGATGCTCCTCTGGGGTGGTCATGTTGATGGGGTCGGCCAGCGACTGAGACCGATGGCGATCGAGCTTGATGAAACGCCATTGCTCGTGAACTCTATGCAGGAAGTGTGGCCGTGACAGAGGAACACCACCTGCAGAGCAAGCACAAGGTGGCAGAAGCCTGAATCTCAGACGCCCTTGCTGCGAAAGCAAAAACGGACAACTCACCATTCATTGCGACTATGCCGACAACAGCCAGACAGCAGCACGCTGCGGGAGTAATCCTGCATAGCTCCGGAATCACTGAACCTCATTATGGCAGCCTGAGCACGCCTGCGTGCGGTGGCGTACGTACTCGCAGCCGCAGCGACGCGCTCACAGACACACGGGCGCGCTTGCGAGCTCGATGTTTCTTGGCCGGTTTTCGGTCGCGACTCGCGACAGTCACGTCGCGGACGCTGTTCGACGGGCGACGCTTTTTCGCGCACTTGTCGGTACCACGAGGCGAGATCCGCCCATAGTGGTGCATCCCCCAAGCATCCCCGCTCCCATCCTCTAACCCCGCGGTGCCCCCCCCCGGTGTGTACCTCCTCGCAACAGGGGCGGCCCCTCTGGGTGGTGCAAATGCTGCTCGAGGCTTGCGCAGGGTGGTGCGGTTCGTCCTCCTCCCCGATGCGAGTTTCTCAGGGAGATCTTCCGTCGGCCAGGGAGCCGGTCCATCGACTTCAACGCCCCTGCTGCTGGATCCATCGACTTCGACGCCCCTGTTGCTGGATCCATCGACTTCGACGCCCCTGCTGCCGGATCCATCGACTTCGACCCCCCTGCTGCTGCGAGTGTGCTGCTGGACCCACGACTTCAAAGCCCCTGCGGCTGGATCCATCGACTTCGACCCCCCTGCTGCTG